AATAAAGGTTAAATGTGTAGTGATCTCGGTATGTGTTTATAATATTTCTTAAGAGCTTGTGTCGTGTCACGCAAGATTTAGTAGAAAATAATATATTTATAAAAAGAAGGCATAAATAAGATGAAGCAGTGATCGACGAATGAAAAAAAGTAAGTATATATATAAATATATATAGATCTTTATTATTTATTATATTAATATAATACAAATAAATCTTTTTTTTTTTATTTTTTTTATCACAATTATAGGATTCTAATTAAATAATTAAGCAAATTTATCTATTTATAAAATAATTAAGAGAAAAAGATATAATATCATTTTACTTCAGTACTCTGTAGCCGAAATTTATGATACATTAAACTAATTATTATGTCGAAATAGGCTATCTTTTTGCTTACTCCTGAGTAAATTAAACATAAAAAACAGAGATCGATAATATTAAAAGAAAAAGAAGCCTTCGATTTGAAAAATTATTTTTATTTTACATCTGCATAGAAAGTATGAATGATGATTAATAAACGACTAATCCTGTAGTTTGAATTCTGATTTAAATATAATTATTGTACTCGATATCTCGGCCGTATTAAAATTAAATATGAATAATATCTACATTCTTGCAATATATAATAATACAACATATGATATACACAATAATTAAGTACAAAAATATCCTATAAATTGTCGTAATGCAATTTGCTTACGAAAACATTTTACATAAAATTTAATTTTATTTCATAAAATACATTATAATACATAACATCATTTTGAAAAACCATTACTTATGTAAGAATTGACATTTATTTTTAACATCATTGAAATAATTATATTTTACTTAATGTCAAAGTTCGATAAAAAATTGATACTTGATATTATATATAGTTTCTAGAAGAGTATATAAAATAATACTTTCAAAATATTATAACGTTTAAATAACACGAAAGTGAAACTAATTATAACCAAACATTGTGAACGCGTTAAAAAAAAATTTTTTTAAATATTAGAATTATTTTCATATTATTTAATAAAATGGAAAAGAATCATTATTTTCGAATCATTTTGCGTGGTGGTAATCCTAAATCTTCATTGGATGTTTTTTTTACAATTGGTCTTGTACCCAACAATAATTGTTGAAATGATAACTTTTCCTCTCCTATTTGCTTTATGTCTGTTGAATGATCAATCTCCAAATAAAATATGTCATCTAAATGATAAAAATTATAATATTAATGACAGTTATATAGTAATTATATTTTTGGAAATTTTAAAACTTTTTCACATAGCTTACTCATAATTTTTACATATCCTTTCATTTCAATCATTTGCCCCTTGTCAAAGTAGACATCATTATCATAATTTACTATTGTATCTCCAATTTATACGTCTTATCTGTAATGGATCCGCAGCCAATTGTTTTAAAACTATTTAGAAATTTATTAAAATTCGTTTTAATGTATCCACGTATAACTGAAAAAATTTTATTAATTTTAGTTTATCACAAGATTCATCTTTAGTTCATCAGTATCATTTTTAGTTTATCACTGTATTATAACGAATTAACTTATAGAAAATATTTAAATCTCATAATTATAAAAATCAAATAGTATAAAAATAAGAAATTATGTAAAAAATATGTATATAAAAGATTTATAAAAGCATATAGTTACATATTTATACGTACGTTTGCATACAAATGTTTATCGATATATAAGAAATACCGGATTTTAGTATAAAGTATATTATATACATATAAACACTTACTAATGCATGCATTAAGATATTGAGGTACATCACACAATTCCACTAATTGTGGTTGCATCGCTTGAATGTTTTTTTTTAGGTCAAAATTACCCAACGTATTTATTGTCGTGTTGGATCGAATAATTAGTTCGTATTGAAGTGTCCCTTGGTTGAATTCAGGTATTTTTACCTTTTTAGCCTTAGCACCATCAATATGCACAATCTGCAAAATTAACAAATATTATTAAATTAAATATGTATATTAAATTAATATTATTCTAATACTACTGTTTTATATGTACTTTATTGGAATAAACTTTTTTTTTTAAATATTACAACAAAATGATAATAAAAATAATAATTTTAATGTTATAAAAAATAAATTATACAAAAATGTATCGCTTACTCGATTTGGTTGTATATAAAAATTTATACGATCAATTTCTTCGTTCCAGGCAACAACTTGAATGCGATGTTTACTGTTGTTGTTCACAAAAATTTTAACAATCTATAATTTGGGATTTACCAACTATCTTCGGACCGTCAATTTCATCGATAAATCCAACAATTTCTCTAAATAAATTTTTTATTAAAATTAGTAATATAATAATATTTTAATTTGTTTTAATTATCAAGCTAAAATATTAAATATTATGTTCTTTTATTTGTTAATTACAACAAAAGATAATTATTTTTTATTTAAGAAAGAATTAAATATATATACATAATGTGATCACAACAATTGTTAATAAATAGTCGAAAAGAAACTTTGAAGGTTATTGTGACATAAAAATTTTGATATTAAATATGTATATGTGTATCAAAACTATATTAATTTACAAATGAGATATTTTAATTAAATTATTCTAATAACATGCTTTAAAAAACAATACATTATTAACGAAAGCGTACTAAATATCATTTATTGATAATATTTTTCCAATGGTAGATTTGATAATTACATGTTATATAATTTCTGATAATGTAAATTTTAAAAACAATTCATTATATTGTAGTATATTTCGTTATTAAATTTTTCGTTTAAATTAATCTAAAAAATATTTTATTAACTGATATGATAATACATTTAAGACATAGAGGTAAAAATTTGCATAATAATTATACAATTAAATAAAAAATTATATTATATTAAGTATAAATTAAAAATATAAAGACTCACACAGTAGAATCTTCGAATTGTATCGATTCCAACATTTCATCCGATGCCAAATATATCGTCTCCAAACATCATTTTGATTGAGAAAAGTAATTTCCTGTCTATTGACTTCCACATCATTACTTCGATTTGGAGTAAAAGTTCTTTTTGTTGCAGGTTTCCGAATGACTTTCTTCGTTTAATGTCTCCTGCTGTATGTTAAGTATTCTGTAAATGAGTAGCGTATATCAATATAATATCGTGATTAATAAAATATATTTTATAAAATTTATGTCGCAAGTTACAAGCTCTTCCATTTAAATTATGTAAAAGATTATTATATTGCGAACTTTAAAAAAGAATCGGTAAAATAGAATCTCTTTATATAAGAAAGCAGTTATAAAAATAATGTAAATTATTACTAAAAAGCTATCAATCGATTTTAACTAACAAAATTAGCTATTCTCTGTAACAATAATTTAAAAATTTATAAATAAAAAATGAAAATATTAATAAAAATAAGTATATTAATAAATTTACTTGTTAAGCGAGGATTCCTTTAAATTAATTTGGGACGAATGTTTATTTCCATTATTTTTTTCTTATCCTTTTGATGTTGGTTAACTTTTTCCATTTTTTCTTTTTCTCTTTCTTCCTCGTTCCTTTATTTAAAACTAAAACAAAAACGTATACTATAATATATCGCATAAAGTGTAATTTTATGTTAAAAATAGAAATTAAATCGCAAGAGTTTTATAAGAGAGCAATATCAATATCGAACAAAATTTAAAAAAAAAATTTTTTTTAAATTTAAAATTATATATTAAAAAATTTTAACAAAATTATAATTTAAAATTTAAAAAATAATTAAGTAATGTAATAATTATTAAATTTTTTATAATGTATAATAATTTATAAAATAATTATTAAAAATATATCAATAATTTAGCTCACTTCTTCGAACCTCCTGTAGATTGAGAAGATATGTTGCTATGTATAAAGAGTAACATATTTTGTTTTATCGTTGCTATAGAAAATTCGATGACGTTAAAGTGTGTTCTAAAAGCACTAGTATATTGAAAATCTATAATTCACGTAATGATTTTAGAACACAACTTTAACGTCATCGAATTTTTCTATAGCAACGATAAAACAAAATATGTTACTCTTTATACATAGCAACATATCTTCTCAAATCTACAGGAGGTTCGAAGAAGTGAGCTAAATTATTGATATATTTAATAATTATTATAAAAATTATTATAATTATAAACAAATTTAATAATTATTACATTACTTAATTATTTTTAAAATTAAATTATAATTTTGTTAAAATTTTTAAATTTTAAATTAAAAAAATTTTTTTTTTAATTTTGTTCGATATTAATATTGCTCTCTTATAAAACTCTTGCGATTTAATTTCTATTTTTAACATAAAATACACTTTATGCGATATATTATAGTATACGTTTTTGTTTTAGTTTTAAATAAAGGAACGAGAAGAAAAAGAGATAGAAAGAAGAAAAATGGAAAAAAAAAAGGTTAACCAACATCAAAAGGATAAAAAAAAAAAATAATGGAATAAACATTCGTCCCAAATTAATTTAAAGGAATCCTCGCTTAACAAGTAAATTTATTAATATACTTATTTTTATTAATATTTTCATTTTTTATTTATAAATTTTAAATTATTGTTACAGAGAATAGCTAATTTTGTTAGTTAAAATCGATTGATAGCTTTTTAGTAATAATTTACATTATTTTATAACTGCTTTCTTATATAAAAAGAGATTCTATTTTACCGATCTTTTTTAAAGTTCGCAATATAATTAATCTTTTACATAATTTAAATGGAAGAGCTTGTAACTTGCGACATAAAAGTTTTATAAAATATATTTTATTAATCACGATATTATATTGATATACGCTACTCATTTACAGAATACTTAACATACAGCAGGAGACATTAAACGAAGAAAGTCATTCGGAAACCTGCAACAAAAAGGAAACTTTTACTCCAAATCGAAGTAAATGATGTGGAAGTCAATAGACAGGAAATTACTTTTCTCAATCAAAATGATGTTTGGAGACGATATATTGGCATCGGATGAAATGTTGGAATCGATACAATTCGAAGATTCTACTGTGTGAGTCTTTATATTTTTAATTTATACTTAATATAATATAATTTTTTATTTAATTGTATAATTATTATGCAAATTTTTACCTCTATGTCTTAAATGTATTATCATATCAGTTTAATAAAATATTTTTGAGATTAATTTAAACGAAAAATTAATAACGAAATGTACTACAAATAAATGAAATTGTTTTTAAAATTTACATTATCAGAAATTATATAACATGATTATCAAATCTACCATTGGAAAAATATTATCAATAAATGATATTTAGTACGCTTTCGTTAATAAT